GTTTCCTCCCAGGACTTGCTAGTGTGGAAAGTCAGGGATTCCCAAGTTTCATGGCAATGGAGCAATCTCATGTTTTAAAGGAACTGATATGGTGTATGCATATATGTGTGTATAAAAATGATCTAGCGGATGGTTTTTCTCTAAGGAAAGGTATTACAGGAATCCTTAACTTTCTGTGTTACCTATTTCTGCAATGTTTGGGTTTTTATAATGAATATGTGTTTCTTTGTAATCACATAAACCCAACAGCGAGTCTCAGTGAGGCCAGTCTCCGTTTCCACTGGTGTCGCCGGCATCCAGGATACTTCATGTCCATACAGGACCCTGGCATTTCCCACCAAACTAGCTGCTGCTGGACAAAAGCTCTTTCTCACTCTTTCAAAGCATCAACAGCCGTCACACTCCTCAGGAGGCCTCCCAGGAGGAATACCTGATGGTGTCTTCATGCAGGCGAGGAGGAGTGCCAGGAGCTGGCAGCTTGAAGGCGTGCGTGATGTGGGGAAGGCCTGACCTCCGAAAGATCTGAAGAAGCATCTTTTTACAAAGTCTTCCCTGTTCTGCCGCCCCAAGCCACAAACACCTATCTGTTTCCAGAGCTCGAGACTTGCCAAGGACTTTCCCGCTGGGTGTGGCCCTGCTCTGGCCAGGGCACGTGTGGGGAACTTGTCGATTTCTGGAGCTCAGCTGACCTGCCCTGCCGGGCTCCGGCCACTCAGGTGTTTTCTGGGCAGGTGCCACGTGGGCCTTTGTGCCCCTTGGCCACCTGCTGCTGGGGCTGGGGCGCAGCCATCCCTCAGTTACGGAGCCAGCCAACCAGAGGCGCCACTACACACTGTCAGACCTTTTCCCTCACTGTTTTCCCATTTAAACCCAGTGTCCATGATCCCATGGCAGGAGTTGTTTCTGGCCGTGGGAGCCAGCCCGGATGTCCACAGGCAGTCAGCATGGAGCAGACTCCGTCTGGCTGAGGCCGCAGTGTCCTGGGTCAGCCATGGTCATCGGAGGCAGGAGGAGAGGCAGACCTGGTGGCGGCAGACGTGCATCTCTTTCTCCAGCCTGGTCACAGCAGAGCTGGCCTAGCAGGTCCAGGGGAGGCAGGGGCTGCCGGCTGCTCACGAGGACTTGTCTTTGACAGCAAGGCTCCTGGCCCTCGTCCTTGATTGCAGAGGGAGCACAGACGGCAGGCTCTCCCTCTCCTGGCAAGCTGGCCATGGAGCCTGCCGTCCTCCTATGGGACAGTGACATCTCCGCGTCCCCCACCGTCCCTCTGCTTGTTCCTGTCCCTCAATAAACTTATTTAATAACTCACCATGCAGAGCTGGTGTGTACATCCACGTCCCCTTGGCAACAACAGAGGCCACCAAAGCCACACAGTCCACGTATCTCAGTGGCACCTGGTCGGAAAATGGAGTTTCGCTGGAACCTCACACAGGCCTGAGGTGCCTGGCGAGAAGCACTGAGCTACAGCCATTGCCGCCTGCAGAGCCTGCTCTGTGCCTCTCCCGTGGGGTCTGCAGGCCGGCAACTTCCCTAGTCCTAAGCCCCACAGCTATCACCTTGGCTGGGCTCTAGGCACCCAGAAGTTGGGGTGCAGTGTGAGAAGAATCTAAAGAGGATGCAGGCCTCTCTTTCCTCATGGACCTTCATATTGATGGAGCCCGTACACTCTTAATCTTCGCCACACCTGCTTTGACCTTAGAGGACAGATGGATGGTCCATGTTGCTCAGACTAAGTGTGCCGATGGACATGAATTTGCACACTCCCATCACCTTGGGTGGCCCCATGGCCACTTAGCTACTGAACTCCAGAAGTGTCTTCTAAGTCCACTTCCTCCATGGTTCGAAAGCCACAGAGATGTCCCTTGCTCCATCACTGTCACAGCAAAGTGCATAGGGCGGATCCCTCTCTTGGAAGCTGGTGTCCCCTCTGCAGACAGCGTCATCTCAGAGGAGTTGTGCTTTCCTTCCCTGCTCCCACTCTGCTGCTAGTTTCCGCCAATAAACCTTATTCTATTATGGCTGCACCATGTGGTGTGGGTGGTGTCTCTGTGCCCCTTTGCATGACAGTTCCCATCGATGTCTCAATTATAAAATTTAAAATTAAAAGTTCACAAGGATTAGTGAAATTATCAGCAAGGAACTCAAATTTTAAAAGTGGGGCGCAGTGGCTGGCTGTAGGAGTCTCCGTCCCCAGTCCCCGTCCCCAGGTTGTAAGGTGAGCATCATAGAAATGTTTCTCATAACCCCTCTCCCTCTTCTGGCCCCAGCCCAGCCTCCTGTCCCCATGTCCTGTCAGGAAGACTTTTGTAGGGTGGCGCTAAGGACCCCCTTTTCATTAAAGTCAGCAGATGCTTCTCAGAGCTCGCCCTCTGGCACTGACCACCTCCTCCTCGGTCCCTCCTCTGGGCTCACCACCCCATCCCTGCATTCCCTCCCAGTCTCCCTCAAGGGACTCTCTGCCCCTCCACCCACCCTATAAGCCTGGAGGTTGGTGTTCTGGAAACTGGACCTCAGTCCTTTGGGGCCCAACCACTTTCAAGGTTCATGGTTTGTCAGCCTGCAGCACCAGCTTGGCCCTCCTTTCTGCAACCAAAGCTGTGAGTCCTGCTGCCTCCAGGGCCCTGGCCCTGGGTGTCCGGTGAGCACCAGAGGCAGGCAGCAAAAGGGAGTGTCTACCTGTTGTCCTCCTCATCTGAAGGCCCCAGGACATCCAGAGCCATCCTCGACATGGTCCTGCCTGTCCCTAAATGCCCCATCAGTTGTGTCCACCAGTGCCATCCTGCCTAGTTTTTTGTTTTTGTTTTTAGTAAAAGCTTTATTGAGATACTAGAGGCCCAGTGCATAGATTCATGCACCCGTGGGGTCCCTCAGCCTGGCCTGTGCCCTCTTGCAATCCAGATCCCTCGGGGGATGTCGGACTGCTAGTTTAGGCCCGAAACTTGCAGGCCAGGCCCTGTGGGGATCGGCTGAAACTGGCAGTCCAATATCCCTCGAAGGATGTAGTAGTGACCAAAGCAGCAGGTGGCCTTTGAGAAGCCTGAGCCCTCCCCACTCATCTAGGCCCAGGTGCGCCTAGCACCCGAAGGTCAGCTGAGCGGCACTCCCACTGTGGGAGCGCACTGACCACCAGGGGCAGCTCCTGCATTGAGCGTCTGCTCCTTGATGGTCAGTGCACGTCATAGTGACCAGTCATTTGGTTGCTCGGTTATTTAGGCTTTTAGATAGATAGATAGATAGATAGATAGATAGATAGATAGTCCATATGCCATACAAGTCAGCTATTAGGCCGTAGCAGTTGTATTTAGCTAAGATGAGGTCATCCTGGAGTAGGAAGAGCCCTAATCCAATCCTGAGGAATGGAACAGGTTCTCCCTCACAGCTCTCGGAAGACGTCTAGCCTCCAGACTGTGAAACAATGCGGGTCCCCTCAGCAGGGGCAAGGGCCCTGGCCTTCCTTCGTTGGCGGGTCCATGAGCCTCCTCTCAGAGCCTGAGTCCTGGAACTGAGCACCCCCTTCCTCTCATCCCACCCACCCTCTGCAGGACACTGAGGCAGAAGGGAGTGGAGTGGGCGATGGAAGTGCTGTGGACCGAATGGACAGTCCTTTTTGGTCCAACCTCCCTTCAGGGAAGGGGCCAGTTCCTCCTCTAACCCCCCACTGGGCCCCATTCTTCACATGGGGACCTGGCTGTCACATCCCACACTCACCCTTCCCTTGACAGGCTGTGACAGCAGGTGGGGAGCCTCTCAGTGCACCCATCACCCTGGCCCAGGCTTGCAACCCTGGGATGCTCTGTGATGCCACCCAGCCTTTGCAGTGAGGGTGCTCACGGGTAGTCGGCTACCCAGTCACCATTTACCAAACTCCTAGTCAAGTGCCTGAAAGTAGGAAGCAAGCCCAGGCCATCCTGGCTGCTGACCGGGTGCCCTCAGGAGGCGCTCTGATGCCAGCCTTGACCCTCAGCAAGCCCTCCTCCTTTGAATGCTCCCCTCTGTGCCACCCACCCAAGAGCCTGCGAGTGAAGCAAAAACTGTGAGGTCTTCTGTCTCATCACAGACAGCTGCATCTTGGCCTTTCTAGAATCTTCCCTGCGCCCCCCATCTTGGGGGGCTACTGACCAGTGGAGACAGGTCCTCCCAGGATGGATAGCCGGGTGTGGACCCGGTGAGGGACTCTAGACTCTAGAGACTGAGGGGCCAGGGTTCTGGGAGGGACGGATCCGTTCTGAGCCTCCAGCCACCACCCATCTCCTCCCTGTCCCCTCCCTCACCCTCCAACGCACCTGCGCTGGCCTCCCCCCAAGCCCTGGGGGCAGCCGGCGGGCGGCGCTGGAAGATCAGAGAACTCAGAGGAGTGGGGCCCAGGGGGAGGGGGCGGGGAATTTCCCCCCACGCCTGCCCGGGCCTGTTACCCTCCCCCTCCCGCGCCGGGGGCAGGGGTACAGCCGGGGAATTCCATCGCGCTGCGAGGGCTCCTGCGAGCCTGGGCTGGGGGGTCTCGGAAGGAAGGGGGAGGAGAGAGGGGGGCAGGCTGGGACCAGGGGCGCAGCTGCCTTCTTCCCCAGACGCCAGCTGCCCCTGCCTGTCCAGGACTGAGTGTCCACCAGCCCCGCCTGTCTGGAGGGGGCAGGGGCCGGGAGTGGCACTCCCTCCATCAGGCCAGAGGCGTCGGGACCTGGGGAGCGAAGGGCGTGAGGATCTGAAAGAGGGTAAGTGTGTGTCTGACAACCGAGTGGGTGACCGAGTGGGAGGGATGCGTGCGTTTCCTCTAAGGGTGCTTGTGAACGGTGGCTCGGGGGAGGGTCCCGGATCTCCCCCCTTAGGGTCCTCCCCACACACTCCCACGGGAGCCTGCACTCACCCTGGGAGGGGCGGGGGGGAGGCGCGCTCCTGGACGCCGAGGGTCCCAGGGCAAGTGAGGAAGGCGTCCGGACCTGCTGTCTTCGCTCCAGTCCCGGGCGGGGCTTCCCGGCCTCAGGGATGGGGGGTGGGAGGGAGGGACCCAGGAGGGAGGGACCCGCTGAGGGACACGAGGGGGGCAGGAGCCGCGCATTAGATACTGGGCTAGGGAACCTCAGAGAGCGAGGTGCAGCGGGAGGAGGAAGGTGTGGAGGCCCAGGCCAGACCCTGAGCTCCCAGAGGCGGAGACGGAGGAAGCCTGGCCAGGGATCCCCCGGGAGACCCCCAGGAGGGACAGGGCAGAGAGGGGCCTCCAGGAGCAGAAACCCAGGGAGGCAAATCCCCCGGGAGACACTTCCCCGCCCCAGACGAGAGTGCTGCCCAGAGTGGGACGAGGATTCAAGGTCAGAGGACAACGCCTCCCCCCAGGTCGCCTGGGAGACCCCGAAGCGACCCCGGGGGTGGCACAGGTCGTATGCAGGCCTGGGAGACCTCTCCTAGGTTGGGGGCGATGGGGACAGGAGCCCCGCAGAGCCTCCTCCTTCTCCTCCTCCTTCTCCTCCCAATGCTGTCGCCACGCGGGGCCTCCGCGGGGAGCCTGCATAGCCCAGGTGAGTCTTGGCCGGATGACTGGGCCTTGGTCGCACTCCCTCCTTCGCCTTCCCGCCTCGGACCCGGGTCCTGAGCCTGGGGAGGGGTCAGAGCAGGTGGCGGGAGCAGCCGAGCAGCCCCAGGGCCCCGGGGACACCAGGGGCGCTAGCTGCGGAGCCGGGCAGGAGTTGGCCTCCTGTGGGGAGGGAGGGACCCTTAGGATGTCGGGCGAGGCTCCGAACCTCCCAAGGCCCTGCCGTCGCCGTTCAGGCCTGTCCGAGTGCTTCCAGGTGAATGGCGCCGACTACCGTGGCCGCCAGAACCGCACAGGCCCGCTCGGGACCGGCCGCCCGTGCCTCTTCTGGGACCAGACGCAGCAGCACAGCTACAGCAGCGCCAGAGACCCCCAGGGTCGCTGGGGGCTGGGAGCGCACAGCTTCTG